AATACTACGAACAAATATTATGATAAATACTTAAGTGACTTTTAGTTTTTATGGAACGATAAGGACAAAATACAATTATTGACAGTGTGTCATATTTTCAAAAAATCTTTTATTTTATTTTCTGTAAAAACTATCTTACATACAACCTTATCCGCTTGAATATAATGCGATATACTCTAATGTTGACATTTTTATTCTTAAGCAATACCTATATTTATGTGTAGTCGAAAAAAATTAATTACCATCTTGTAATAATTATTGGTGGGTAACTGATATTATATTTGTATATAACATACCTTACAAGCAGGTATATATTTCACTTATTCAAAATTAAAACATGAATTTCTAATACTTTCACATACTTAATTATACATTTTAAATCTTGATAGAAACCATAATAGTAAATAAAACATATTTTCAAACCATAATTGTAAGTACAAATACCCGTCTATCCAGTATAAAATCACAGTTCTACTTCCACCCTTTGATTCAATTAATTTTTTACTATTAATTTTTCAATACCTATATATCGGTAACCGTATAAAGTTAAATATATTATATTGTATGGTATGGCATGTTCTTTGATAAACGTTCATACTAGGTAAAAAAATGTATGTTCAGATCGAATTATTTTTGTATTTTATAATTAATAATTAGTAATTACTGTACTCTTCAATACCAKTGGGCATTGAGGGTTAACACTTCCATATCCCCCCTCCCGCTAGTTTTATTAATTTATATCCTTTATGAGTTGTTCGTGATTTAACTTTTTTTTTATGTTTGCTATGTGACTATTCATTCTGAAGTCGTGCCATCACTGGCCCATCAGTGGGAATAGTGGGATAATATTTTAATCACAGGGGTATAATATACTAAAAGCACGTAACTGCAAATTATCTAATGTTTACGAATAAATAATTGAATCAATAATAATATATATTATAATATMTAATTTTAATTTTAAACCTCCGATTTACTGTACAGTAATGTTCCTTAGAAAAATTACGTAACATGAACCTTTTAATATATTAAATTTAAATAAAATCATGATAATTTTATTTTATAGTATAATAAATAGTTATTTAAATTATCTGCTTATACCTATAAAAAAAACTACCTACTTACCTACTTATTTTATTTTCTTGCACATAGTTTAGGTATAACGTTTTTTTATGCTGTACTATTGTTTCATTTTTTATTTCGTATTTGTAATTTGATATAGTAATGTGTACTTTTTAACTAATCTAAAAATTATCGCGTTTACTATGACGGATGTAGTCATCACGGTTCGCTTTAAATTTATTGGTATTGTAATATCTATTATTTATGGTTTATACTTAAATATAAGTCGTTAGAATTTTATAAGGTGTGTTGTACTAATAAGGCAATCATTTACACCATTATGTTGATTTTGAACGAAAGTTAGTTTGATTCAAAAGATTTACTTTCTTTATTATTCATTAATTCCAAACAGATAAGAGAATCGTATATTATGAATTATAATAGAGGATAGTTACATTTAATAATTTAACTTTTAATTTTAAACATACAAATAAAATATGATATCATATATTTTATATATAGGTTCGTATAATATGTACGTAAGTTATTATTGGTGATTAACTATATATTATTGGTCAATATAACGTGACTGCAATAATATTCTTTACATAACTTTTGAAGTCTGTTTTATAAAGACTATAATTCTAGTAATGAATTAATTTACATTTTTAATTTATTGTATAAATCGATAGTATTGAACCTAACTAGTAAGTATTATTGTGGTTATTATTATTTGACTTGACTAGAGAAAGTCTATGTACTATGACTGTAAAATAGTTACATCACATTTTTTTTTTTTATTAAGTACTCGATAATTATTTTGCAATAATACATCTTCAATAATAATTTAATCTATTGTATTACTTATGGTACAAAATAATAATAATAATAATAACAACAATTTAATATCATCACATTACAATGACGATCCCCTCTAATTGTTGTTGTTGGTTTATTTTTCCAGAGCTCAATCGTACGCTGTTCAATTGCCGGGAGATTTCGTTTGTGAAGATTGTACCATTAGATTACTCAGAGAAGCATTGGAATTCGGCAATAGCTACAGATTTTGGTCATGCGCAGATGTCGATATCAAAAACAGTAATTATTATTCTCTTATATTTGTACAAATATTACGTAACCGTAATTTAAGGGTATACACAAATCGTAGTTGGTAGTCGTCAGCGAATCATCCGAGCAAACATTTATCACGAATCATGAATTGCCTACATATTTCCCTCGAACTTCTACTTCTTAATAGGTTTCACTGAATAAATTAAAATATGTGATCAAAATTACTTTAATAAATGTACCTGTTCACTGTTCCGCTGTAATCGTTACAGTACACATTTAACACCCATGATTTAAATTAATTTTAATAACAACACGCATTTGAATTCTTAGTGAAAATAATATTTTCAACAATTTTCGAAATACTGCTTTATTATAAATTTATAAACATAAATATGTAATCAGATAATTAAAAAATAATGAATTTTTTGCATAAAYTCGAAGGGTTTTTAAATGAAAATTAGGTTTGAAAAATTTGYTAACTTTCACTTAAACGGTTTATTCGTACAATTAATGATGAACTCCACAATCTAAAAATCAAGGAATTATTTTAATTGCATTAAAAATGCGTAGTACGAGCATATTGATATTTGATTGCATTATTTTGTTAGAAAAAAATTACCGTGAAGACTGCAGTGGCAAAGGTCGTTACTTATTATCAAAGTGCCGATGTGACAAACTTTATTACGGCTCCAGATGTCARTATAAAGATGAATGCGTTGAAGACAACGATTGTGGTGATCAAGGAAGGTGTATAGATGTCCACGCTACAACCGCTCCAAGGAAACAGTGTTATTGCGAACCCGGATGGTTTGGACCAGCGTGCACTAAACGTAAGAAAAATCATAGATGAGTTAAATAATGAGTAGTATAACTGAATTGCATTTAAAACGCACAAATATCACATAGTTATTAAAATTATATAATTAGATACATTTCCAAATTATATTCAAAATTAAATTTTCTATTACTTAAAATATGTTTATCGATGATAATACAATTATATGTATATATATATATTTATATTTAACAATAATGGATAATAATACAATCATTAACACTGGTTTTATGGTTCAACCACAGATTATTTGCTCATAAAGAAAATTTGTAATAATATTTTTATATAATACATTTTGCTGAGTTAAATATTTTATTAATTTAAACACACAACATAGTAAAAATTGCAGAAATTGTAAAACTTGGAAAATTAGAAAAAAAATGCATTATAAAATTAAATAAGTATAATACATAAAGTATATCGATTATGCATTTGATCAGATTTTGTTTCTCTTAATTGCAAAAAAAGTTGCAATATCAATTAAATCCTGTTTATTTATAGCTATAACATATACCAGATACCTATTATGTTTTGTGTTTATTTTTTAAATGTTATTTGGGGAAGCGATTTCTATATGTCAAGTATATAATAAGAGAGTTTTAATAATTTCACAGTTCTAACTGTTGTAAATGACGGAATAGTTAGCTGCAATAATATATTATGGTTTTGAATTTTGACACTGACATGAAGGGTATAAGACGTATAAGACATTATTCAACCTTCAAAATATATTATCATATTTATATAATATGTGTAAATTGAGTCCATTGTATGTAGAGTACAACTCTGAGAGGCAGCATGATGTATAGTTCCTTAAAATCTATCAATATTGTTACAGCATTGATATTTATACATATTTAGTGAAAGCAACGTAAAATGTAAAATATATTAAATAATCAATAACATGCTACAATATTAGAAAACAAAAATTCAAAAACTTTAAAATTATAATATTAATTATAAAATTAATTATTATTTTTCAGGTTCGTCTTTAAAATCAAATGACATCGATTTGAGCAATCATAGATTCAGAGAACTTTCAAGTGATTTCCATTTATATTGGAAAATATTCAAAGAAGAAGGCGAAATAGAAGTTGTCTTGAGAGCAAATAGTACCAGTTACTTAGGGCTAGGTTGGCGACCAAAAGATTTGACTGCTGAGTGTAAGAATTTCCCAGAATTAGCAGATTTACCTGGTGCAAAAGCTGTAGCAGCAATACCCAAACCTGAACCCGAGCCGGAATCAGTTAGTGAGCCCGAACCAAAAAGCGAACCAGAACCAAAGAGTGAACTCGAACCTAAAAGTGAGCCTGAACCAAAAAGTGAACCAGAACCAAAGAGCGAACCTGAACCGAAAAGCGAGCCGGAACCTAAAAGTGAACCAGAACCAAAGAGCGAGCCGGAACCAAAGAGCGAGCCGGAACCAAAGAGTGAGCCAGAACCAAAAAGTGAGCCAGAACCAAAAAGTGAACCTGAACCTAAAAGTGAACCAGAGCCCAAAAGTGAACCAGAGCCAAAAACTGAACCAGAACCAAAGAGTGAACCAGAACCAAAATCAACAACTGGACAGAAATCAAATAAGAAATCTGAACCAGAACCGGAACCAGAACCTTCATCAGAACCTACTACTTTGTCAACAACAACAATTGCAAGTTCCACTCGACCGAAACCATCATTTTTCCGAACCAGAGGACGACTGCAAAAACCAAAGCCTACCGATGAACCGGAAGCTGCAGCATCAACTACTAATGCACCATTAAGATCTAATGGAAGGCCAGGTAATTTTCTTATGATTTAAAAAAATTATATTCAAATATAATTTCCAGTCATTAATTACGTATAAACTTTTTAACAAAAATATGTTTTTAGGCTAGATACAACTTTTTTTCTGAATTATTTTGCATTACAGCTCCTCGGTTACTCCTAGCAAGCGGTCGATAATATCATAAAATTCATAATATAATTATGCTACCACAGGAACCACGTTGATGTATTTTTTAAAATCAAATTATATTAAACTGCGTTATCATAGTATAATAGAATCCAGCTAAATAAATATAATAATTGTTTAACATTTGTAACTATGACTTTGAATTCTGAGCTCTAGAAAGCCTATCGGAAATGTAAACATATTATTGACATACGTCGAGAATTCAAATACCGAAAATATCTACAGCTATTATTAATTATTTTACCAAGCAGTTGAGAAAATATCAAGTAGCAYGCTTTTTATCTAGTAAAAGCTAATAATAATGTTTGTTAGTTAATCATCACTATTATGACAATAATGATTATCAACTGAGAATTATTGTATAAGATTTTGTTCTTATAATCATTTATTAATTAATTTTTTTCATACCAAAAATAATAATAATAAAAATGGCAATAATAATATTGATAATAWTAATTCATTTCAATTAAAACTTTCATAATAAGCGCGTTTTCGCGAAGATACCGAGAGCAAACAGTTTGCTCAACTTTGCCGATTGTTTACTGATWTGGCATATCAAATTTGTTCATCGCCAAAACGCGATTTGGTCTAAAAGTGATAAGTTCATTATAAGCATTATCAAAGGTACCAGAAACACTAAACAACTTGAAATAGTCGTTTAGTGATAGCACCAAACATTTTAGTAAACAGTAAATAGTTTTGACATAAAATTATCGCCAAAACGGATTTTAGTAAACTGTTTACTCTTAGTACCTCCGCGAAAACGCGCTTAATATATGTTCTTATATTTTCTTACAGTGTTTGCCCAATTACGAAATACTAGATCAGCATCAACCCCAAATGGTAAGTTGCCAATACAATCTTGGAATATTGATACATTTTTTACAAAATATTATAATAAATAACAAATCGATTAGAACCTCAACCAGAATCAGAGCCAGAACCAAGGTTGAAAGTTCAGGAAGGCCATAATCATCACGATCACTCTTCACACGAACACGACCACTCATCACATGAACACGACCACAACCACGATCATCACCATGATCATCATACTCACGACCATAATCATGAACATCAACATGAAACTCCCGTCAAAAAAGGTAAATATTAAATATTATTTAACATAAGTAAGATTAAGGATTTTAATAACATCACATGTTATAATATTATTGTAAATAATATGCCAACGTACTGTTTATTTATAATGTTTTGTGAATGCACTTTAAGAAATTAAATTTTAATTATTAATTAAAATTATGTAAGTAGGTACTATGTTAAATTGAATCAATAATTTTTATTTTTTGCATGAACAAATGTCTAACTGTTATTAAGTATTATGATTGCACATATTTTAGAAATGAAACTCAATACGTACACACCTAAAGCTGATTTCAACGGGATGGACTGCACAGATTTAGTAATAGGAAGTGCTCGAGGATCAGCCAGCAGGGTGTGGGATTATTACACTAGAGACAGGTAAATTATTTTATTTTTAAGTTTTTTTTACAAGTAAAATATTATTATATTTTTCATTAGGTCAACGCCACGCGTAGACGGTTTTTGGGGTGGAAAGAATGATTTAATCGCTGCAGTTGGGTTTGAAAAAGATGGAGTTACGACTATTGCTTTTAGAAAGAAGCTTAAAGGTGACTTAAYATTTATATACTTTTGGAAATATATATTATTTCTCARCTATATTCGATTGTAATAAAATATAATTAWATAAATTACAGCCACCGAACCAACTGATCACTCTATCGTAGATGATGTTATGCACGTGATTTGGGCTAAGGGTCAAGAACAGAAAAACTATCAGCATTCACCAAAATCTGGACTGGAAAAAGATATTGCTTTTGTAAAAGATTTTTACAAGCAAGATGAACTTAAATATCACGGTCACGGATCCCAACGAGGAGTAATTTCTATTAACTTTTTTGGTAATTATTATATGATTTTATTCACAGAGGTACTAAAAKTTATCGCATCTTTTAAAAATATCGTAGAAAATTCTTATTTATTGATGCAATTGTTATTATAAAAAAATCTAATTGAAACTTTAGAGCAACCTAGTTTGATATTATTGATCATCTTAAAAATCTCTCTTTGACTTACAGTTAATTTAAAAATCTTTCATAGATAAATTTATGTTGTCGCGAAAGACTTTCAACAAGGGTTAAGTATTTGTCTAATTTATTGGTTTTTATAAAATACATCAATACCAGAAAATATTTAAAGCATAAAAAAGATTACGAATTTTCAAAGCACAATCAATGATTATCTGAATCAATATTAAATTTGTAATTTAAATGTATATAAAATGTATTATATGTATACAATAATCGTATACAAAAATCATAAATATTCTTGTACATTTTTTCCAACCAAAACATATAGAAATTCATTTTTATATAATATCTTATATACCTTATATATCACGTACATACGTAATGTCTAGTATTAAATACACATTTTAAACTTAAAAAACATTATATTAATCGAGAATTTAATGTAACTCGTTTATACACCTTAATTTTTTATATCTAATTTTTAAACGCTTATGTTCGAGTAAGGGGTAATGACAATACTTTTTCATGGTTCGCACCGTTTGTCTTCACAACGTATAATGATATGACTTTCACTATAATTGTACGTACTTAATCATTGTAGATGAACCCGGACGACTGCAGCCATCGGTYGACGATCAAGAGGCGACGAAAACCGCGGACAATCCATTGACCAGTCGTAATAACAAGCCGTCTGTCCAGCAGGTTTCCACTCCGGCGCCCAGCAACTGTTACGGTCAGTGGTCGACCCCAAAAGGCTGTAACGTGACCGCTGGCCAGTGCGAGTACCACGTGGTATGGACTTATTCGTCAAAGACCGATTACATGCGATTCACGATCACCACCACGCATACCAGTACTTGGACCGGTATTGGATTTTCTGAAGACCACAAAATGGTAAAATTTATATTATGTAWACTGTGTAGGTATTATAAGATTAATTACATCGCAGATTTCATTGACAAAAATTTATAATTTAAAAAACTGTTAAAAATATAATTGATGTTTATGAGAAACACAACTAAATATTTGGGTTGTAGACTCTATGTTTTAAAAATTACCATATATTAAAAAAAAAAAAAATAATTGGAACATCGCATACATTTAAAAACACCAATGGAACAATATTCTGTTGCGAAACAATTTCAAAATTGAAATATTGTTTATCGTTGGTTTCGATTTAGACACATAGTATGGATGGAGCCAATTCCCAATATTTGAAGCACATACAAGCAATGAGTCTCTTATTAAGATGTGCCATCTGCACATGTATGTGTATACTTGTCACATGCTTATTYTAATAACTGCATTTCCTCTGAGTGRTAAATATGCGTCGATTACATTCGTGCATGYTCAGATAACGTATCTCAATAAGAAACTCATCGCTAATATATTGGGTATCAAATTGTTTACATAGGTGCAGAGATAGACAATAGCTCAATCCATTATATATTATTTAAGGAAAATAAACACCTCATCATTTGAATTTCGTTTGTAACTTTTGTTTTTGGTAACTCATTAGAGTCAAACAGACGCCATTATTGGATGGGTGGATAAAGCTGGAAGGCCGTTCCTTATGGACACCTGGATAAACGGATATACAGCTCCGCTGTTGGATGCTTCTCAAGACTTAAGCAATATAACTGGTAACACCGCCGAAGGATTGACGACATTGAGCTTTATGAGAAAACGATCGACCGGCGATACCAAGGTAATTATTATTGTCATTATCCATTTTATTATTAAAAACKTGAATATCGCAAGAAGTTAGGTTCGTGAATTTAATCCACTAAAAAACCGATTAGTATGTATGCACATTTTCGCTAAAAGTTGGCGAGAAATGCTCAAAAATCTCTAATATATAAAACCATGCTGTTTTAAAAAAAAAAAACCTTTATCAAAAATCAATTAAGAAAGAAAACTATTTTGAAGAAATAACTAAATTTTTGTCAACATAACCTATACTTATCGGTAAACTATAAAAATGTAAAAACAGGATGATGTAAGTACCAAATTATGTCTATTATAGAATATAAAACGAAATCGAGCTACTAATTATTMCTTTTGTAAAATATGGTAAAATATATTATAATATAAAATAAATACATTGCATTGACAACGTTAACTGGGTATAACTTACCCAACCTATCCTTATTAACATTACATTTAAATGTGTCTTGATTTAACGTTGTTTTAAAAAAACAGGATATGATGTTTTCGGATGATAAATGTTTGTATTTAACATTCATCGTCAAAGGAGGCGGTTACAACCCGGTGAACAAAAAGATCAAAAAACACGAAGTTTTACCAATGTTTTCTAACGACAGAGTGTGCATAAGATCCTGCGGTGCCGGTAAGGATTTTAAATATTATAACGTTTACATAGTTATGTTTTTGACTCGGGTGTGATTTAATATTTGTTTACAGAAGAAGATTGGGAATTGGCGACTACCACGACTGCCCCGAAAGCTGCGTTCAACGTGGCCATCAAATTAGTCAAATTGGGTGAAAATTTTGTTGTTCCCCCTGCTGGAAGTCCCGATTTTGACGCCCTAGCCAACACGGTYACCAGTGGTTTCAAGAAGACCTTGACTAAGTTGCCCGAGTTCTACAAGATCAGCGTCGATGAGTTTTCTCAGTACGTATTCATTAATATTATTATAATACAGTAGAATTCGTTCAAGACGRAGCCGCTTAAGACTCTCTCCCRCATGAGACGCTCATTTGAGCTGGTCCCGCGGAGAGCGTCTCSAGCGAGTTTCACTGCATTCGTTCACACAAATATTTTGATTACATTACTTTAATTGGCTGATTAAAACGTTTTATTTTATTTCATCGAGTGTTGTTGTGTTTATTTTTATTACAGGGAAAACGAAAACGTGGTCGCCAAGATGAGTGTCGAGTTAGACGAGAGTGGCGGAGGATCGCGTGGCCGTGCACTGGGCACAGACGAGGGCGCCGAACAGTTGGAACGTGTTCTAAGGAGTACCGTAAACAGCGGCCACGTAGGCGCTCTATCGTTAGATCCTAAGTACTTTGTTTTCGAAGCAGCACCGCGTAAGTGATAAAAAATATTAYGTAGATTTCGTTATGCTTACGTAATTTTTATTYATTTTGAATTTTTCATATTATCGATAGTACCTATCTACCTTCATATCCATATAACTATATTATAACAGTCGATTTTTAGTAAAATTTGGCCTTTAAAAATCAAACAATATGATGAGTGATGACAATTCATTTGATTGATTGATTTATGAAAATCTTTTATGATAMCGAGTAATCGATCACATCCCTCCCCTCMCAGCCATATCGCCTCGCTTATATGCGTTTATTGCGTACATTTGAGTATATTATCGAAATTACAATTATTCAACTGTATAATATATTATTATATATATATGTTATTTATTTACAGTGTCCAGCACGATTCCGTTAGAGGAACACGTCAATGACAGTATATTATTGTCCACGACAAAATTATGGATCGTTATAGGATGCATTTCCGCCTTGGTGTTTATTGCCATTGTTCAAGCTGGATGCACCATTTACAAGACAGCTCGAAGACCCAGACCAAACCACAAGGTAATTATTGTCACGTCGTTGTCACGCGTTTCTGAGTTTACGGCGACACACATTATTATAATCATAAATTATCATACATCATTTTCATGTTTATAATATATTACCTATATTATGTAGTTCATCCATATTAACRGCTTTTGTAGAGCTTTTACTTTATTATTGTTAGCTTCGTCGTATGATATAATTAGGCTTATTAATGTTGTATTCGTCAACATTTGGCGAGCTTGCAGTAATCGTATATAACTATAATTGTATAGCTGGTTTATTCGGTCCCGACTGGAGCTCAGGCCGGGTATCGGCCGCCTGTCGACCCTTACAATATGTACACCACTGGTCATTGGGCGCCTATCCGAGCGGAACATGTCACACATCGTTACTAATCAAAATCAAAATCTAAAAAATATATCGAAAATCAAAAAAAAAATATATATATATCATCAATAAACACACATAACGCATATAGTATAAGTATATTACCCGGTGAGTCTGATAAATACTTCTTCTTTGTCTCTGTTTCTCTTTTCTTTTTGCGTGATACCCTTATAATATCTTATTACTTATACCTAACTTACACCTAACTTATAAGTCAYGAAGATTGCATTTATTTATCAGTTTCTTACTATTTCATACTTTCGCTAACAAAGAGTAATTTAATTATTTTATGTTTTTTTACCTATGTGCACTGATTCGATTTAAAAAATTTCAACTTCATATATTTTAAATATCCGAAATATTGATCTAAATCTTATAAGAATTAATAATTGAGAGTTWAATTACAATGAAGATATAATACAATAACCAAGCAATTAATTTTTTTTATCAATTTTCATTATTAAATATTAAATGTTTATTTTAGGCAATTAAATGTAAAAATGTCAAATATTTGAATATATTTTTAACTACACGATTATATAATAATAACAGATTTTATAGAAACTTAAAAAAAAATCATTTTCACGAATTATGTAACTTAAAAATCTGGCCATGTGCTAATATAAGTGTATACATAGACACAGCTATAGTTACTTTGGAAACAAATATAATTGAGTATCTACATGCATTTAAACTGATAAAACTAATAATTATGAGATATAAGAAATAGCTTTTCATATTTTACGCATTATCATATATTTGCTATAATTCTATTTTTATACTTTTTACTAACTTTATTCACTTGGGTACCTTTCATAATATCAATATATGTGTATAGGACATTGCATATATTAAATTATTAACATTGTTATACGAGTATTTTATCGGCTTTAATAATAATTACTTCGTATAATGGTTGTGTTAAAAAATGTCAGTGTTTTCAAACTTAAAATACTTCGATAACTTGACTTATGTAATACTACCTTCGATTGTTGAAGTTATTTACTTTTTTTGCTTCGTCATTCGTCCCCTCCATTAATTYAACTCTGTCTTTGGCCCCAACACATATAAAACAGTGTTATGCAGTTGGTGTTTTCTAACGTTTTATTTATATTTTATCGAGGTCTTTCGATGATTCCCCCTTTTTAGATCTCTGAATTCTTTACAAACGACCATTTCGTAGATGCGTGCCTATTATATTCTTTTGATCGTTTTTTTCTATTCGTTTGTATAAAGTCATATTTTTTTTCGAGACTACATTATAACTCCGTTTAATACACACTTCTAAGTATTATATATTTAAAACTTCTATTTTGTTGGTTCAATGACAAATCATTACATAATAACAACAATAACAATATTATACTTGTTCTACTCACTATGCACGTGAAACGTACGAGCATTACCAACTTTTCGATCGTTAATTATTATGGTACAAATCGGTGTGTTAAAAACGTTCGTTTTTGTTTTTTGTAGAAAAGTGGTAATTATATGCGCATAACTACCATAGGCCGATAAAAAAAAAGAAAAGAATTTATTGCCGTAATATTATTATGATTATGAATGTGGGTCGAAACACAAATAAAAGTAGTATCCAGCGTTGTACAGAAATARGTAGACACGTTTTTCCACCGTACGATTTTCTTTTCTTAAACAAAATAACTGCTTGCACATTTGTTCCTATTATTATCATGATTGTTATTATTACTGCCACTTACTATTTTACTACTTCTGCTACTACTACTATTACTCYTACTACTTCTATAATACTAGACACATTCACAATATCAATATTATTAAAATGTCTTAGCTATTATATACTTATTATTATTTTATCTATGTTGTATTTGTAAATATTATAATATTATTCTTATTATGTCATTGGGAAATGTGACTGTATATATTATTATTATACTGTACATATGTAATAGGGAAAATATACATCGGCGGTAAACCACAGAGAGAGGTTTTGTTTGCGCCGAAACCAACCTTTAATAATACCATATGGTATTGTAACAGCCGAGGACTTGTAGAAATAATACTTGTTTTTCATCCTTTTCGTATCATCATCGACTTCGGTATTTCATAATAATAATATTCCCATATTTTACTTATGGCTTAGTAAATAAAAAGGTTGTTTTCGGCACAAATCGTAGACTTCTCACGCTTATTATCACCATAATTTATTATGACCATGATCGGTCTTAAAACCAAAGGCTTTCCGATATAGTGACTTATTTGAATATAAAACGGTATTGCTCGGTATACGTAACGCGTGAACCCAATTTTATTTTTGAAATATTAAATTCCAAAAACATGATAGAACTCACAACCTCTATCGCCATATTAAACAATAAAAAATAAAAATAAAATAATGTTGACGAGACAAAAATAAGCGATATTAAATTTGGCATTCGGAATGAGACGAGTTATGGTTCCCAAGTATAACTTACGCAAWATGTCGGTCAAGTCAGTGGTTCGCATTGCGTGATGATCGACGGCTATATCTGATCGGAAAGCCCGCGGAGATACACACGTTAATAATAATATGATTTTAATAACACATTTTTGAAATTTTATTATGGATGATTCAATAACCGTTCTTATTTTTGCGCTTGCGCAGGATCACGGCGGCGTGAATTCCGCATGGAAGGATTATTCGTCCGGCGGCGCAGGYGGACCAAACACCAACTACGCTTTCGACCAGTACGACGGAGACGAGAAACAGTCGCCGAGCTCGTTGAGCCACACGTCAACCATACCACTGACCACAAAGTTGGTGTCGCACAACGGCGGCGGTAACCATTACGCGGAATCGCGGTCGTTGCACAGGCCTTCCGCGACCACGGCCGCAGCGGCCAACGGCGGCGGCCGTCATATGCACAGCCGCCCTCCGCCACCGCCCGGCCACCAACAGCAGCTGCACCACCAGGACAGGGCGGCGGGCACTTACTCGCTGCCCAGGCCCGCGCAACAGCCACCGCACCACAACGGCGGTTACTACACGCAAAGGCCGCCCAACCGGACGTCCGCTGCGCACCACGGGCCGCCGCATCAGCAGCAGTCGAACGGGGKCCCCGGAGATCAGCTCCAACCGGACTTTTACTTCATGCCGTCGCAGAGGAAGTACTCGGGTGAGGTGGTCAGGGTGTACGTGGACTACAACACGAACCCCCGAAAATGATCGCCCSCGCGTTTCTGTTTCTTATTATACTTATAGTAATAATCATATTTTTTGTAAATATATATCCGACGATTTTTTTTTTTTAAATACATATATACATTATACATAGAAGACACACACATACCCATATTTTAATATA